ACAACACAGTTGTCTGGTTATGTATTAAGGGGGGAAAAGGGGGCTGTCTGGCCCACATTCATCAAGTCATTTGAGAGCATGGACAACGTTCGTTCTGTCCCAGTAGCACACAACCCCGGATCTTGTTGCGAAATCCTACTGAACACCGGGATGAATCATCGGGCATACGACACAAAAGAAGGGGGGCGGTAACTTGACAGCACGTTCTACATTTGTTTATTCATATGGATGCATGTATACGGCATATGTTTGTGCTGTGAATCGGAACGTGTGCATACGCTCGGCACCCGGTGAATTCCACATTCATCCCGCCCAACCCACCCACCCACCGCCGACAGTAGAGAAGAAATGTGAACCAGGCTGGGTTGGTGAATTGGGAGCCTAACCAATAAGTGGGGTACTCTATTTATCTATCTATCTATCAGTGGTGACCTAATCTAGATCTGATCGAAGTAGCCAATAGGCGAGGATGAATCCGGAGGGAAATCGAAATTAAGTGAAATCGTGTTTCGCAAGTGGGTGGTTTAGATGTCCGTTCCGGTTGACCACATTTGGTACCGGCGACTTAGACGGCAATGGATGGATGCTACCACCAGATTTCAGCTATCAAAGAAACCTGTTCCGAACTGCTGCTTTCATGAACACAACCAAATGGGAGACAGATTATTAACCGAATAACATATATACACAAAGAAACATATTGAACTGTCCATTATGCATTAAAATTATAACAATGAAACGTGCGTCTGGATGTATGGACAGAATTCATCAGTTCGAAATGCTATAGGAATGCGGAATACATAGCGAATGCGAGATTGGGGTACTGGTTTCCCGGAGAGTATTACCGATCACGGTGCATAGCGCATGCATGGTCCATAATAAAAAAGATGCACGGTCCGAACAGTAGATGATCCAATTCAATCAGCCAACAATATACAGATAATCGTTGTGAAAAACGAGAGCGGCAGATTACCTCATCGTCAGGGATTTTGCGCATATGTCGCTGAACCAGTCGGGCTGAATCGTCCATTGTCCGGAGCCAACGCTCAGCCAAGTTCGGATTATCAAAGAGGAGGAATAAGGAGGCGGATGGTAAGCGACTGTCCAGCACAACCTACATATGACCGTAAGAGAAGTAGTGAACGAGAGCGTTGCATCATCAGCCAGATTGAGAACAGATTTCATGCAAAAAAGTGTAGGAAAAACTGCATTACTTATTAACCAGTTTGCGGATGTCTGTACAATTGTTCAGTCACGAGGGGACGAAAAAGAACGATTATGAACATGAACATCGAAAATTGAAAAACATCAGGATTCCTAGAGAAGACCTATGGAACATAATCGTAATCGGTTTGAATTCGCACTAGGTAGGAAACTAAAGTTTCCATTAAAAGGTTTACACGAAAAATAGATCGAGCACGAGTGTGTGAGCGATATCCACAAAAATCAGTGTGTGGAGGGAGGACGAAAACTGGACTGGAAAGAATTTTGTTTATCACAGAAAAGCAAATACAATTTGATTTCTACAAGTATCACCAATACACGTAACAGTTAGATCACGACGCATGAGTGAAGTATTTTTAAAGTTTTTTCTTTAAACTGGATGAAGGGGTTGAGACAAGTCACCCTCTGATTGGTATCAAATCAGCTCGGCTTAGAAATCGGCTAGAGGGACGGGGTTTACCGATATGAATTTGAATGTATTCAGTTCAGTTCTGCTGCTCGATGATACTTGGGTATTGAATGGTGTCACCTCGGGAAAACGTACCGGACGAATTTGTGAGACAATGTTTGGGATACAGACAGAAGGTGTATACAAAATGCATTCAAAACACACGGAGAGGTTCGGGAAAAGTCCATATTCAATGGAGGAGCTGTAGAAGAGAGAGATTGTTTGAAAGGTGGGTGATTTCAGATTGGTTAGGAACGACTGGTGTCCTACAGGTTTGTCCTGTATTTGTATCATTTTAGTCTTTTAGATGTTTCTGTTATCAGGGATTTGATTGAATTCATTAATGAAGTCCGAAACCTAGGTTCAAGAATTTTATACCCCACTTAGCTGTTAACACATGGGCTTAGTAGCAAGATATGTGGTCCTGGCATTCATCGCTTGTCCCTCTCCCCAATCTCACTCGCCCATTGCCATCCATAAGGTGGTCATTTCATCTTAAATATGTCGCACAATGTTTCGACCTATCCTTGAAAAACTAGTTCAAATTAGAAAAAGAGTGCTGCATTTTCGAAAACGAGGTCTTTCAAAGCGCAGCGTCGAAGATCAACGGGGAAACAATAAATAAATCGGGAAAATCATACGCAATTGAAAATGACGATACCCCTCGAATACATCAGATCCCAAGTGATCAGCCAGACGATCATCCGAACACACTTTCACACATAAAAAGACGAAGCGATGTCACTCTAGGACAGAGCAGATAAGTGCCGCATCGTACAAACGAGGATGAGATATTCGGTTGTAAACAGATCACAAATCCTGACCGGATCGTCTGAATCATCTGGTGTTGTTCCGAATACAAAGCAATCGAGCTACACAGTGCACCAGTTGCTTCAAATATAAGAAACAATCGTGCCATAATTAGGCGATGCAGAGCTAACAGAGATACACGGTAAGCGTATTTTGTTTAATGACAAATTGTACTTACTTCTCACCAGAAATGGAACAAAACAGCCCACTAACCTTTAGGATTTTCGGAATGTCGTTCCGTTTCGCATGAATCACATCGGTGTCCGAAACTCGTGAAACCGAGAAGCCCGGACTGCGCATGTCCACAATGCGATTTGGTGAATTAGATAAGAAGACACTGGGGACATGGGACATCGACCCGTTTGGACTGTGTAGTCGAGACCAGGGGAAAAGTGAGGTAGTCTGCGAAACGGAACTGATACTTCCATTCAGGTTGCTTTCGCCGGCTTGCCCATTCGGATCTGTTGTGATCTGGCAGATTGAAACGAGACGAGATCAATAGATAAATAGGCAAAATTTTATCAACATAGGTAATGATGCTAGCAAAACAACACGTAGATGATTCAAAAACAGGGGAACACGTGCGTGTAACCGTTCAATTGAGCGGCTCTGAGGCAAGTTCAGACTACAGGCTGGGATCACTTTTCACGGACTTATTCATTGCGAAACTTGAAAACACTCAATTACAGTCAACCACTAAAGACTGCGTACAATACACGCGGTACCTAGATTATGTTTATCACGCGATCAACGCAACAGCGAACACAACGGAACTATTAAACATGTTCAACACTACGCATCCTAACATAACAACAACAACAAATTGCCGTTTTCTAGATGTCTGCATCACCCGTCGATCAGATGGTTCGGTGTAGCATTCCGCGGATAGAAAGGCAAATTGCAAAGATCAATACATTCATTTCCGAAGCTTTAGGTCGCTTAAGATAAAAAAAATCCTGGTTCGTTGCCAAGCGGACAGGGGAAGAAAGATTTACAATGAGGACATGCTAGCGAAAGAGCTCCGCACTAAAAAAAATCCATATTTGCACGTGATGAATATCCGGAGCGTTTGGTCGACAAAATGATTCAGTGTACGGAAAACTCTTTACAAAACACCAAGGTTAAGAAAAAATCTGTGCAGATTTGTTCGCCGTTCAAATGGGGACACATCAGCTGAGATCATGCAAAGAAGATTATCCGATGCAATCGACAAGACTTTCTATGCATCCAAGCTTCGTGTGTGGTTCACATCCAAATCGCCTATGTGTTTGCGATTGAAGGAAAAAGTTCCCTAATCTGCGGTCTCATTTTCTGTATACTCCTGTGGAACAACGTACATAGGCCGCACGGTCAGGCGATTGTCCGAACGGATAGGTGAACACCACTCTGCGTGGCTGAACACCGGAACGATTAAGTCACTCACCAGTGCAGTGGTTTCACACCCAGCTGAGAAATTTCACTGTGGACGTGACTGAGGCTTATCGCCCCCAATATCGATTATCGAGTTAGGTTCGCTGACGGATGCCGGCATTCGTATGCACAACAGCCCAAAAACAACTTGTGTAAGCGCTAAAGTTTCCCTGGCCCGCCTCACACAGACCTGATCACGAGTAATCTGGATAATCAGATGAGTGGACAAACAAATATTTGATCGTGGTGAATCCAATTTCCGGTCTCATGGCTTGTAGTAATCTGTGATTTTATTTTGCTTTCCCAATACACTTTTAGTCCCATTGACATGAATATGGACCTCTGAAAACGAGTTTGTTCGCCACTCTATAGTAGCATTTCAATATAATGTCTTAAGGCCAGTTGTTTTTTGACGCAATCAATAAGCAACTAACTTCTAAGTGAATCCAACAATCAGCTGATAACCATAAACCTAGCGCATTCGGGTGAGGATTTTTATCGTGGTATCTTAGCGACAGTCAGAGTGGATTGATTGACAAGTGTTGAAATCACTAACTGATCTCATACGTGAGAACTGGGGTTTAATAAAAAATAGCACAAATATACAGATGCGTAGAACATACATGAAATCAGTTGAACTATCGCTTCATGGATGCTTATTGGCAAAACGAAAAACAACATTTGTGACAGGAATTCAGAAGTAACAACTGCATAAATTTTGTTGTAAGGAATGATATACAATTCGCTTTTATATCATATTATCAGTTGAAAGTTATTATAGCAACGAAGAGTAGTTGGAATAAAGTTTATTTATGTGACGCTTGATCACATCGATCCGCAGATCACTTTCAGTGACAAATGTTGCTCGGGTGTCATGGACGAATGGGGAGACAGAATAATCGAACAGCTTGGGGTGTTTGCTTTCCAAATGATTCCTATAGGGATTTAACACACGTTACATTGATCTAATCCACCTTGTGATCATTCATCATTAGCGATTCCGTTACGGTTGTGCACTATACAGATTGACGTTGATGCAGTACGGATTGGAACCTGATTTAACGGTTTCTGAGGCTAATTCCTGTGTTAGACTACCGGATTCTGACAACAGCAAGCAGAACATCCGGGGAAAAGAAGTCGAAGTAACATATGAACTATTCACATATCTAAAGGACTATTGAAACAACACATCGAAAATGAGCAATAAATACCACTCGTGAGGGAAGTGGATCACCCTAAACGTGGTATCGAAGATATCACACGCAGTGAATTGAAAAAGTGGTTAAACCCGACTTCGTGAAGTTTACAGCGAAAAGGGAGGAAGTGGACCAGCGTCAAGGCAATATGAACATAATCGAAAAAAAAATCAGTTCTCACAGTTAACCGACTGATTGGCAAAGAGAGTAGAATAGCTAGAGGCTAGCGCAAACCTTGGCTTATCTGAACCGAAAACCTAGGACTCGTCGCAGCGACAATTCAACTAGAGCCCCGCCACGATAGACAAGGTACGGAACCGACGAACAGCAAGAATTATTGTGGCGGGGGTTTCAACTTAAGGTCTTATTTCTCACGTTAGTGCTCGCGGTTTGAGCCACAAATACAATCCTGGTAAGATAATAAAGCTTTGAAACCTACATGGCAGGCCTAGAGAACGAACCACTATATGACTGGGATCAGTTTTTTTTCGAACGGACGGAGAGGAACGGGGTTGCAGCTCATCAGGCAAACACAAAATATAACACGGAATTAGACAGTATTGATCCAGTGCAACCGTCGGGTTTACTCACATCATAGATAAACAACCGCATATCACTGAGAAACAGGTAGTGCCGAGTCCAACCACGTTTGATACCACCAACTTTCGGCATCTACAAAGTGGAGAGATAGAATAACTTACACGAATTAGATTGTATTCAGACTGAGAGTAAACAGATTACATATCGATGGACGATAGCCATTGTGGAGTTCCAGTGAACCAAGTTTCCAGTAGAGAATCAAACGAACAGGAGGGGTTAGAAAAAAACCACTGGTCCAACAGAGAACGAGCTCCACTGATTGCCATTTGTCAGAGGGTGAAATACTAAACCGTCGTGTGTTATAACGCGGCACCGAAACTGTTTTCCATGTTTAAAACTTACAGAGTTGGGCGGAATATATCACGCCCGTATGCAATAAATTCTCCCACTCAAACACACGCTTGCATGCGATGTTTTCAGATCATAGAGACCGGTGTCGATAAACCAAAACAGCATTTTTATAGTATGAAGAACGATGAGGATGAGTAAGGTGGAACAAGTGGAGGGAGACAAACCTGGACAACTCCTTCTAGCACTGTGCCCAAACCACAACCACCGTCGAGACTGGTACCTGTGGGAGGGAAAACAATACAAGGGTACACGGGAACGCATGAAAATGTAGACAGGTGAAGAAATTAGGTCAAAAGGCTCATGTCAAAAGAATATGATTAGTAAAATCCGGGTTTTAAAATAAAAACTGTGCTAAATTGTACTAATCGCCAGACTATGGTACCTTCTCTCCATACAATACACCCACGTAAAACAAACCGAAACGAGTGCTAAATTTCTATTCTTTGTGTGCTGCACAAAATAAGCAACGATGCCGATTTCGGACGTTAAAAGCCTGACTACACTCATATTATTGTCCTCTTTTGAAAACACAAGGACAAACAGCTGTCACGAGTAGTATGGAATATGACAGCGACGACCGAAGCTCGTCAACGCAGAATTCCGAAAACAGAACTAAACCGTCAGGAGAAGACAGACTGAGGGAATACTCGCAAAACATGCGTGGGTGGGGGGGGGAGGGAGGGAGAGAGGAGTAAGGAGAAATGCGAACACCTCATAAGAAAGTGAGGTGTAAAAGGTGCCCAACTTTGTTCTCGAATAATGGTATAAACAAGAACGCCATCGACAGATGGAAAACTTAAAAATAATAAATTTTAAAATCTGACGACGACAACAAAAAAACGTCCACAATGAACCAGTTAGCATACAGTCAGTCGAACGATGAAGAGGGCGGTATATGACTTTTTGAAAGACGGACACGCGAAAACAACACACACGCACACACACACACACACATACATACATACAAACTTCGTTCAGAATGCGCCAGAAGGTTCTGGGCATCGCCGAAATCCCTGATAACGTGTTACTAAGTTTGTGCTCGCCGGGGCATAGGCATAGGCATGATCTATCGGTCGAGCGGCAACAGGCACAGGTACCGATGCAAAGAAACGAAAGAGGGACATTTTGTACCTAAAAAATGTAAATGTGGAAATGAAATTGGGACATGTGTATGCCGGTTCACAGGCAGTGTTGTTGACAAGAAATGGGAACAAGCACCGGTCGGCAATCGAACTGGTCAAGTCAACCTGTGCGAAGCGTCCAGGCTGTACGAGCTATGGATCGGACAGCGAGAGAATGGAGAAGGCGAGCAAAAAGCTATAGGGCACACAAACATACTACTGACAGTGAAAACAGTGCCCAGTTTCACAAGCAATAGATATAGTTAAGTATGTACATGATTGGTGAAGCTTTGTTGTGTGCTTTGGATAGGAGTAGCGAGGGTGAAATCTTCCCGGTAGCCCATATTCCGTCAGGTTTGACGAAAGCTAGTGTAAAACCGGAAAATCGATAATGGAAACCGGTTGACCTCTTGATGAGGTCATTTGAAGGCAAAAGTAACACCACCGCTACAAAACAGAGATTTGCGTGTTAGAAAATTGTGCTAAAAACAATATGCTTATGAACCTGATGGCATCCATCATCAAAACACAATGTTTCTGTCCTACAAATTCAACCATCTCTTCGGGGAGTGCACCAGAACAGAAACGAATCAGACAAGGGTTAAATCAGTGGAAAACAAACTCATCATAAACTAAACGTTTGAGGTTTCATCTGTGCAAATGGAAATGAACGACATTGCGAAAATGGCGAAGCACAGAACATATTTCAAAAACAAAAAGCATAACGGACCACATTGGAAAACTCTTGAGACAGTAAATTGCTAAATCGAGAGAATACAAATGCAAAACAGTTTATTACACAGACCAACGCGCAGCTTAATATGCACAGCACCGCACAGCTGAAAGTAGAAAACATAGGTTGAATCTATGCCAGATATGGCGAATTCGGTTCTCAAGCAATATAACTGAGCCAGTGTGTAGTGATTAGGGATGAAAGTAAGCGGACAAGTGACATTACACAGCTTGTGAGACAAACTTCAACGGTTTTCGACGTGTACCTCCGGAAGAGAACATGAAGCCGACAGCAAATGGAGGGATTCATGGGCAAGGCTAGTATGGAACCGACAGATACGGAAGGGTAGTCATAACGATACACATGCAAGCAGACGATAGACTAGGATAGTGCAGACAAATGTACAGACAGACGAACCGCCCTGGACTGACCTAATAAAGTCTCCGGTGGTGCGGGGCACACGTTCGGTGCAGTTTGTCGACAGCGTTGATGGCACTGGAAACCACAATCCTGACACCGTACCCCTTGCCAGCGTAGACCAAGCATCAGACTGGTACATGCATGGCATTTGGTCGGGTCAGTGAATGTGGTCAAAGTGAATTTGTGCGCGGAAGTGGAGTGATTTGCCTGTCCCGATGACGATGACGGTTCCCATGAGGTATGTGGAGCTAGCGGGGTAGAAGTCGAGTGTATGGCATCTAGTCCGATGTCAGGAAGGGGGCGTCCAGCCTCACCAAGTGAACCATCAGGATCCATTTTGCTCATCTAAAGGAGGAGAGACAAAGAATAGTTTGGAATAATGGCATCGACCACAATAGCAATATTATTACCTCGAGGGAAGACATTGTGAAGTTGGAAAAGTATCGATTGATACAACAATAGCGATGTGCTTATAAAACAACAAAACCGGTTTGACACCAGAGATTTATTGCGAGCTAACTAACTGGACACACGTAGGAAATGCATTCTCTTTCTCGTGGAGTTCATTTACTCACATCCTCGTATTCTTGGATCACCGCAAGATATGCAATATCACGAATGTCATAGAACAGAAATCTCTCCATCGGTGCAAGTTACACAGGGGTGTAATTATGTTCGCTTTTCTCTTATTTATTTTCTTTGCATTCGTAAATGAACGATTATCACATAAAAGTGAATGACGAAAAACACTGAAGATGATGTAATTGGTTCGAAGTGTAAACCAGAGGTCCACGTTTCACATCGTTATGTTTTTCTGATATTGTTATTGTTGAATGAGTGCTTATTTTCATTCAAATTTGCTCACATTTCACTTTTTTATTACACATTTGTGTGATGAACAGCAGACAGGGTGAACCGCATTGCCACGTAAGCCTGCCATTCAGCGATGGTAAACGGCAACCCCGGGACTTAGAATGGCGGTCTAGGATAGACGTAGTACTGAACCGGACAGCAAAGCTGGCTACCACCAAAGTTGGGTGGTAGCGGGGCTTGAACCTAAGACCACAGAGCCCAAAGCACGCCGGTGACAGCGACTAAACCACTGGGTCACCACCAACACCACCCGCTGACGTAATAGAGGAGTAAACTTTACAAAAGGAAGCAACCGCGAAATCAATGGCCACTTTGGATTTTTTTCTTCTGCACTTTATCAGAAAACACTTATTACGCATAATCCGATGGCAAACAACAGTCGGATAGTGCATGCTTACCGTAATATCCAGTCCTGAGGCCTATCTCAATATGATCGTCTGTCATAACTATGCCTGATCTTCATAATTCAAGAAGAACCGAACTGATATGTTCATACCAGGTAATCAGTACAATTGTTTATTATATTCGGTTTGCCATAGTATTATTTGATTCTATTTGCGTCAACCTGTAACCTCTTACTCCAGCACAACCTCACAACCTGAACGAATAACATTTGATGTGAACATTTTCCTACTGTAATCATGTACGATAGCACACACCGTTACCAAACATTTCTGAAAAAAGTACACAGCAAATTCCTCAACCAACAGTCCATATATGGTGTTGTATACCGATGCGATCGACACTCTTTTGCCCGTGATTCTACAGCTGACGAGGTTTCGTGTTAAAGCGAAAACCCTAGGTTGCTTGAACACAGAGATATGCACTATGCTAAACTCTTTTGCTCCGTAAATCCACTAGTTCCTTATCAATAATATTGCCTTACACATTTACACTGTTTTTCTCTGCTGTGGATCAGTGATTCCAATTGTACAGAATCACGAGAAACGTAATCTCGATTTCACTGAATGAAAATTAGGGAAATGGGATGAACCTTAAACCATAAATAAATGCCGAAATTGCCCCGATTCCACTCGGGAGAACAGAAAACTCCAATCAGTTCTTACCCGTTTTTCCATTTAATTAATTTATTTGTTTGTTCTGTATGAGACCAAAATGTAGTATTTTAATCTCTGTGCAAGGCACTAGCTCAGGCTCTCAAATCGCGAACGAACTGCAGCGTGCTCAGACTCAATTCAGTAGATCTGAAATCGGGTAGAGCAGTGCCGCAAGAAACAAATTTTCTGCTTACCAAAGAACCGTGCGAGACGGTTTACCAGCTCAAAAGCGCGTGACCAGTCCCAGTGGATAAATGACTCAGTACATCTTCAAGTGGTCTAGTGACCCAAAAAATCCACCGGCGAATCCACTGAGTGCCTACCACACGATGCGTAAAATGTTGAACGTTACCGAAGAAATCCTACCCACCTCCAGCCAAACCCAATCAAAGTAAGTGATCATGAATTCGGACCCTTTAATTGAGCCGTGCACTGAGACTAATCGAATCAGATAGAATGAATGAAGAGGAGCGCAACGAGGAGGGTGGAGGGCAGAAAACAACTCACGTGTTGTTGATTGAGACTGATCGAGTCGTCCAGATTCTAGAGACGAAAGAGAGGGAAATGCGAAGCTAGCCATACCGGAGGAAGATAGAACACAGTGACAAATGTGAGCGAATAAGTGGACGACTGACACGGGAAAGTGTATGAGATCGGAATTTCGGCAAAGTAGCCATGTACAATTCACTTCAGATTGAGGAGTATTAGTCACCAAATGAGATCAGGAACATTAGCAATCAAGAATTCTTCGAATAAGCTCTAAAGCGCATCTAGCTACTATTTGACTAATGAAAAAGGACGTTTGGGGACTTGGAAAAATTCCTCTGATTGAGCGGGTAATCACATAGAGGTATCTGCATAGCCGAGGCTGTTGTCCCGTAATATGAGACAGTGCCACTGCGCTTTGGAAAAAGAAATGGTGAATTCAGTAGGAGACAAGAAACCAAGCACTGGCGATCATGGGATGCGGCTATAGCTGAACCTGGATAATGAAAGGACCACAAATAAATGATAACTACTGCCAACAATTGTTTTCAACAGACACTTATCCGATAGAGCTATCTGGTTCAATTGAGAAGAGACCGTGTGCTATATATCGACCTGGAGTTACCATCCTCATTATCATCGTACAGCAAAATACAGTGAAGCCAATTGCACTGATCGTTGCCAAACTCACAATGCATACAAAGTTAGAGGTAATATTTAAGGTGGTTAGACTTACATTGAGAGCGGGAGAAGGTGAACATCTTTTGTCAGCACACAGAGTACACGATCTACATACCGTTTCAAGCATTCTGACCTGATGAGTAATAACAAGAACTCCACAACCGTCGTTTCGCTGCCATGTCATACAATTTGTCTAACCCAACGGGGCAGTCTTTCGGACCCCAAGCTGGAAGGCGCGAACACTTACTCTACCTAATAGCTCTGAGCATATCTTCACGAGGACCTATTGTGGGAGTGGTGAACTATATAAAGCCCTTCTGAGTTAGGTATGGTATATATATATATATATAACAATCTTCACAAATATGGAACCGAAACATTACACCAATTTGTTGTCATGCCAAAGCGGAAAGAAATCAACAAGATCCTGAGGGACCCAGATCATCACCTCGATCATAAAACACCTCATAAAAAAATGAAGACCGGACAATATAAGACACATTTGAAGAGTACAACTTACACCATTGTTGATGCGCAAAAGCCGGGTTTGATTAGCGGCTGAACGGTAGGAAGGAAACGCGTATAAAAAGAAGCGAAGCAGAGATAAAGTTTAATTTAATTCACTTTCAGTGAGTAAAAATTCAACATGAAAGGGAAAATATAGGTCTGGGAAAAATCATTGAACCGGATAATACACAACCGGTACAAAGAGATGTCCCGCGGCGAGAACCGAAAAACAGATTACCGGTATTGTTTGTTTGGCGCCAAATGGAGTTTTGAGCGAATAGCTACACCAACAACAATTCGTATTCTCTCTCTCTCTTTCTTGCATTTCCTGTCAATCGATGCCGCCGATGCAGCTGTGCTTGCGGAGCGAGAGAGGTGGACCAATGCCATTGGTTCCTTTCTAAATACGAATTGTGTGATGTCTGTAGGTCAGTATAGCCAGGTTGTCCGTGAAATCGTACAGAACTCGATACACTATCGTGAAACTGGTTCTCAGGCAAATCTATCGACAGGTGTGGGTGTCAGACAATCGTATACAAACAGAACTGAGTCACGATTCGATGGAGCTTGTACATTACAAACCAGGTTGATGGCATTGGATTCCCGTACGATCCGTCTCGAGAAGAAACGATGAGTACTAGAAACACTGTGCCATGACTGGTAGCGCATGGTAAATTAATCAATCGAATGGAACCAAATGGTGAAAATGGAGAAATATATTTTATGCCTCTCTATCCTTCATTTTTGACAGTAACCTAGCGAAAAGAATTTTGGCCCACACGATTCACATGAATAGGGAAGGAAATAGAATTTAACAACTAACATCTCTGGACTAAAACGCGGTTCAAACCTGTCAAAGATGTCAGTCAGTTTAGAATAGGCAGGCATAGACCCAGGTTTTTTTACCACATAGCTATCAGAAACAGTTTTAAAAAGTAAAAAACATGTAGAAAATAGATTCAGCCTAAAGGTAGTTCACTGATTAAACAGATACGGCAGTAATGCATGGTGAGTATTTGCGTGAGAAGGAAAGTCACCGTTAGTATGCATAGTGTGAACGGCAATTGGGGGTATGTTTCAAAACAGAGGGAAACAATGTGAACCACAATGGTCAGCAAAGAGCACGCTCTGTCAAGAATTCTGACTGCATGAGAAAAGATTAAAAAAGAGTGCGACTGCCATCGGTCTTGAATGAGCAGCGATGAATGCCACGAAGCGCATCTCCCGGGTCGCGGATACGAAAAAGGCCTCCGATTAGCGGTTAACTGTGTCATTGTTCAAAGACTCTTCTACTAACGAAAGTAACCAAACACTGCAAACAACTTCTTATTTCTTCAATCCCGCTTATGCGCACAATCAATGGGAGATTTAGTCTACCTTACAAGTGGTAATGATGGAGGTCCTGTCTAAATCTCCTTGCATCCTGCTTTGTCTAGTATCCAAGTCTTACAGAATCTAATCACACCAGCAATGCTCTTGTTCTTCTTCGATATCCACACTTACTGTGCCAATCCCGATGAGTAGAGGACAATCGCGTCTACTTGAGACTTATTCATCGGCGGGTGTTGCGTTCAAGAGAATCATATCAAAGACTAAAGCTTCATTATCCGTTTGACGCAACTATTGAATCGATCCAGGAAGTTTCCCACACGCCAAAAAGTTACAAATGTTGGGGTTCCATACAAAACTGACGATCGGGGGAGGGGAGGGGGGGTTGCTACCGCTTGATACGACCGGATCGTAAACAATGGTGCTCGTGCACCTACTCACTTTCTATGCCGAAAGAGGTTAGGTTCTTTGGGTACCTTTCTGGTGATACTGCTCTTAGGTTTCAATTCTTCAATTCACGGATTACTCATTGATCAAAGCAAAAGAGTAGCCGAAAGATAGCAACCAAAACTGTCGCGCGACAGTACAAGACTACTGTTTGCATAAACTGATACTGTGCATTTTTTTCTTTGTACGTTGCCATATCATCCACTGACCTCTGAGTGACAATCTCCATTTTGAGGTGGTCACTGCAAACGAGACGGTATGACGCAGATACAATTGGTTTAGCATGTGTAAACAACAAAGAACACTGAACCGAATTCAGTGTCTTCCTGATAACCGAGAAAATCAAAAAGGTGCCACATTGGGATGAAGGAAACGCATTGAATCAGATTTTTTTAATGACTATAAGGCAAAACCAAGAAATTGTATGATTCATCACTTAGGTAGCTCAATAGCACAAGGCTGAGAACAATTTTAACGGAGCATCAATTAAAAAGTTATGCAGTGACGTGAGAGAGACGTACCTTCCAGTAGTTGATCTTTCAAAGACTCCAGCATGCGTTCTTGTTCCTGAATCTTCATATCTTTCGTTTTTAGTTGACTGAGAACGGGAGAGACCAGATGGAAAGATCAGAAAACATTTGCAGAGATGAAAAACTAGGGACCGAAATTCCGCGTACACTTCTATTTTGTTGCAAAGCGAAGGCACTGGTAGGTGAGAAAATCCTGTACGATGTTGCACATAGTTTCTAAAACATGACATACGAAACACCGTTAGAACTATTCTCTTGGTTGTCGACTTTTGTAGCGACGTTATGAGGAGAATGGCAAAAGGCTGTGTGCAGTTTATCAAACCCAGTACATCACTCAATATAGTTCGGGTGTACTTCAAAGTGCTATCTTCTCACCCTATCTTTTTGCGATTTATACCAGTGGCTTATTTATTTCTCCTCTCCCGGTGCGACATTTTGAGTATGCTGATGATAGCGACCTCTCTATTTCCGTATCCAACCAATCAGAACTGGCTGCACATAGCACAATTTTATGCAACTCGTTACGTATTCCACTTAAATCGGTCTTAATCCTAATCCCCAAAAATGGCCTGAAAGTTTTTTTACTTTAAACCGTTCCTCATCGTCCACCGACAATGTACAGATTTTGGGAACACCGACAAGCAGGGTCAGCCATGTACTTAGGTATCACAATTGAAAGTAATCTTCGCTGTTCTTTACACACTCAAGCTATTGCTCGCAAGCTGAAATTTCTCTCCTTTTAGATAAGAAGAAGAGTCGTTTCTCTTTTGATTTGTAAGTGATAGGAACTTTTGTTCAATAATGTGTTCTCCCTATACGCATTGACTACTCCCCTGTAATTTTCCCTGGTTTACTGAAGGCTGATTTTAAGCTGCTGAGGCGTGACCTCAACGATCAGCCATGTTTCCAAGTTTTTTATCTATTCTGAGTTACAATATCCGTGATGCTCATATTGAGGCGTGCTTGAAGTTTGTTGATAATATCCAATCTGATTGCATCCATCCTTTACACACTGACCTATGTGCACGCAAATCCCACCCCTCCAGCCGCCCTGAATACAAACTCATACCATCTCGGATATCTGTCAAAAAACTCATTGATACCCTATCTTGTCCGAATACTAACCGATCAGGGGAGGGTTCATTCTTAGCTTATTAATGCGTTGAGTAGTTAATTCTCATTTTTTGAACGCTTGATGCCCCCGTTTTTCTCCTTTTTACCACTATCGTGACGGAGGTCTCTTGTTCGCTGGAAGTTTGTATATAACTCGCCAAAGCTTCAATACACAGTACAATAACGTTTTAAGTTCGCATCCAAACAAACCAGATTGCAAAGAACGACACAGTTGATAGATGGGAAACGCTGTTGAATGCATTTCGGGTGCTGGGATGAATAACGTGTATTGGGCATTTAAGTCGTAACCAATGAGTTTAGCGATGTTCACCCGTTTGTATATTCAATAAAAGAAAAATGATAGTAAAAACATTTTTTGTTATTGTCGCCGTCCTGATCGGTGAGAGCAAGCTACAGTTGACGGTCAGTAAAAATGAGCAGGCGGCCCGCAAGGAGAGTGGTCAATCGGCAAAACAGAGTGCTCTTGGTATCAATGTGGTAAGTATCAACGATGGACAGAGATTCGGAGAGCTGAAAGAATGTGCGCAAATGGCGCTTTTAACTGCCTGTGCATGGGAAGCAAACAACGAGGAGACCAGACACCTGAATAGATAGCACATATTTCCGGGAGAAAAAAATAACTTTATTCGTCGAACTGAGGCCATTGACTTGCTTTGGGCTGAAACTCAGAATAGGTGGTGACGCAGATATTGCTCAAATGTATTTATTGGTAGCTTATAAAAAAAACTTTATCTTTCGGAAAATGATTTTCTCTCCATTTATTTGGTCGATTAATGAAGAAAGAAAGAGAATAAACAATAAACGAAAGCGATTTTTTATCATACACATTTTTCGTGATGAACAGCAGACGGGGTAAAGCTCGTAGTCGCGTAAACCTGCTATTCACTGATGGAAACCGGGGACCTATGTCACGGGACTTGGAGTGGCGAACTACATAAGGCCGCATTAGTTTAGGCAGTGTTGATTCGGTTTCCGCCCAGAACCAGGGTAATAATGTCAATATCACAGTTCCGTTTCAACAGTCAAACATGACGAGCATTTCGCATTCGTTGTCCATTGTACAGAGTTGATGAAGTGTATAATACATGGTAGGGATTGTTTGCAAGTGTGAAGATTGTGTCGTCACTAAATGTGCACACACACTGAACCTTTTTCGCTTGATCTCCCCTAGAATTAACCTTTATAACTGATCTACATCACACTCCATGGAGCTCAATGTTCAAAAGTGCGTTTATATCTCTTTTGATCATAAATCTCGCTCTTTCTACTGGTTAATTTTTCAAAATAGCATACCTTTTACTGCTTGGGATTAACCTGCCCCTGAGGCCACATACGTAAAACATTTAGGTATTATTTTAACTTAATCATTAATAGGCTGTCTGTTAAAAGTGTCTTGATAAAAGTTCTCATGTAGTTTTTATANACATATTTAGGAAACTTGGTATTACCCAGTGCTTAATGAGTCAATTTGTCATCGCATGCACTATACCCCATTAGCGGTATTGATCCTCATCACTGTTCAGGGTTTGTCTGCTCTGTCTAAATTATATTTAGATCCACTGGTATTTCTCGTAATGATCTTGTTCAGTTCGTGGTTCGTAAGCATGCGACCAGTTTACCAAACATTTGGAGGGGGACTAATACAGATCACTGTGTACGCAATGAAATCCTCGAGGCTGTACCTGATTACCATACCCGTTACCGATTCAAAATTTTACTCTCCCGGTCATACGTATGGAATAATAGCATTATTTCTTTTTTATTTATTGAGCATTTCATTGGCGCACATTAGTTTCATTACATGCTTTCCATCTCGTTCGACAGATTGCTTCGATTCACTGTAATTTGTGAATTATCCTGAAAGTTCATCCACCAGGGTGTATAGAGTATTTCTTATTTTGACTGGGTGTATTCCTTCGCAGGGGAGATAATGAACCTATTGTCATCGGATCAACCGCACAGCGAACAGGTGTTGCGGTGTCTGTCTAAAGTACACTGAAAACCCCGGTTTGCTCTTTCTGATTTTCCTCAATGGTACAAATTCGTTGTACTCATAGAACCACGGACTGACAAACCTGGCGCGTGTAAGGTTAAGATAGGATTACAGTAACCCGCTTTATCGTAGCGTTTCAAGTGCATTCTTGCATCTACAGTTTGAATTGGAATAAATTTCAACCACATCTCTGATTCCTAATAAAACGCTCGCCGTTCTACTGCTTTGTACCACCACTAGGTAGCACATGATTTCGTTACCCAAACTACAGTTTTACCACAAACTGGGTTGTCAAAAACAGGGCCTTAAAATAAATCGAGTCACCAGTCTGTGCATTTATTTTCGACGAGCCACGGACTATTCGCACGTTTTAATTGAATTCTGTCGTTTCCGATTGTTTAATTTAGCTTAACCATATGTGCCTTAGGGTACGAGGTTCGAATTCCCTCAGGTTATCTTCTTCAGATTCGATGTCCCAATCCAGGAAGCCTGAGGCGACCTATGTGAGCAAGTTTCTTGGCCAGAGCATGCATATACCCGTGCTAGATCTTACCTTGACGACCCTTCACTTTTCCCACCTATCAACTGCCTCGGCAAACAAAGCAAGCCAAGGCAATCTATTTTATGGCAAGCCGCTGCTCGCCGCGGTCACCCAACTTTAGTGGTATGCAGCTTCGACATCACTGGGATCAATACCACGCCAATAATAGCAGATACCTATGCGGTTCATCATCCCAATTTCCGAAGCATAGGTTTCGGGTTCCCATGTATGAGCAATAGTCCTTGTGTCTACGAGGTTTACCTTTTCTGCTGTTATTCATACGATAAGGTATCATAGAAAAAGTCACCTGGCATGAATCGCAAACGTTTACGCATTATCTTGATATGATATTTTTGCTGTGCTCAGTTCTTCCAATCGACCATACACTCGGAAGCACTAAACTTGACTGTCTCATTTGAGTTCATCAGTAGTGCGTACACTCTGTCCCGTCCGGGCTTTGAGTTTCGGACCCATTGCATGGGATGTGTATGCCACTGCAAACCAGCTCATACCTGGGCTGAACCGAATTTCCAATTCATGCTTGTTCCGGTGTCGTCTTCACTGATGCACAATCAGATCCACAGCAATGAAGGGAGACACAATTGATTATCTGTTGACATCAATAAGGGCGAAACTAGAGTCTAGTGCTTTTGAATGTATGGTTAACTGGAAGAAGTGATGAACGTGAATGTGAAGATAAAGACTGAAGAATGATCAGTTCAAATCAATATCAGTTATTCCACACCCATACTCACAAGTAGCCGTGAGTTATTATGTCTTCCAACTCCAAAAATACCACTCTTAATCAATAAAATTATTCGAAGCAGAGCTGCTGTTTTAGGGTTTAAAGATTGAAATCAGACATGAACACTTACTCATACAGCTCTTTCAACTTTGCCTCTGCCTCCTGTGAGCGTAACTCTGCCTGCTCTCGAACCCGAACTTCATTGTTCAATGCCACTTGCAAATTGGATCGTTCCATTTTGTTCACCTTGGACGATTTGCGTAGGCGCCAATCTAATGTGCTTTCTCCGGTCATACTCAACGCCGGACTATCCAAACCCAACGAAGTAGTTTCATTAATCGAGGCAGTTGGTTGTGCACTCCCGTTCCAAGCGGTCTGGTAGTCACTCGTTGAAGTGGCAGTCATACTGTGCTCGTGATTGGCCAACACTCCGTCCGGACCCATGCTGGCCATACGTAAGGCTTCCAGCTCGGAGACAACACGAACCGTAAAAGCCTGACGATGGAAGAGAGGAGGAAACCGATATAATGCGCGGACCGTTAGCTCCGTCTTGGGCCTTATTATGCGTCAATGCAGAGCTTGTGGTGGTCTTTTGCCATCAGGAACAATGTAATGAACAATTAAATGTGGCATAGAAACACGCGGAAATAAAATTGAAAAGCTCCTTGGAATGAGCCAGTCGAAGGCACACAGTGACTGCTGACTGCATTTCAAACCTGATTGTAGGTATGTGTGTGACTGGTAAGTGCATGCAACTAGAATCGATCGTATTGGGCATTGGATTATGAACGTCTCGTCGAGGAGTAAGGCCATTTTATGTACTTCTGTGTGAATAAAAAGATTTTTTTCAGATTATTTTTAGAAATCAGTAAAGTAGCGTAAATTAAACTAGAACGAAATTTAACAGACAGAAACAGGGGGAAATGACAGAGCAGAAATCAAAATATTTCAGTAAAAGCGGAAGCACAAGAGAAACAACAGAGAATGAATGAACGAAATGGAACGGACCAACTATGGCTGGTTTAATGGTGCGAATCGGGGAGAAATACTCGGTTTTCCCACGGGTAAGTTTCACTAACAAGAAGAACGAGTTTCATAGGATGCTAGCGTCTAAAAGCTCTCGTTCATCCGACGGTAGGCGAAACCTCTTGCTCGCCTGGAGAAATGCTCTCATGATATACGTCTATGGTTGATATCCCACGTAATGTCGTCTCTCTATATCTTATATATGGCACTAGAGCAGCACTCATGAGCCAAGGACAAATAGCTAACCCATCCAGCTAATAAAACAAAGACGGGTAAACAAGGCGCTTCCAACATATTCCGGTACTGATGGTCATCGGTTGGATGGGGTGATACACTGTGTTGGGCACCACGGAGTTGTTAAACACATCTGAAGGGATGAGCATTCAACTGACTGCATGACGGAATCCAGAATGAATGAATGAGTATCGTTTACTTCTTTTTTTATTTATTGAATATATGAATGTGCAGTCAACTTCCAGGAAGGGGGCTGCGGCCATACAAAGGCTGCCTGCTGAAATAGAGAAATAGGGAAAACGCGCGGTGGTGTAGCGGTTCGAACCCGGGACTTCCGCGTCACAGTGACCTAACCACTTGAACACCACCGCCCTAAACTGCAACCTTCACAAACCTCAGTCAGCTTTTGACGAGCTAAAATCTAAGGACAGGAACAGCTAAGAAATTCAGGTACACCGGTCAGGAGAAACTCGGCAGTAACATGCCCACACACAAACTGTGAACTATTTTGGCCGGAAAAATGCACGCACCAGAGCCTGTGTCATGATGTGAACGCGGACACGGGTGCAACATGCATACATGGGTTTAGAAAGTATCGTTTTATGGCTAAGCCTTACGTTTCAGCAAACGAGGAGAAGCAAAGAAGATCGATTTTCTCGAACAGCGCGAACAGTTAGTTCATCACAGGATGCTTTCCATTTTTGTTCACGTTTGCGCAATATAGTTTCAAAGGGATTACACAATAACACTTCTGAACGCACCAGTTTTTTCGTTAAAAATAATCCAACTTGGTCTCGAATTGGTCGAGGAATGGCACAAATCATGGTCAAATAATAGCGGTTGATGGTCACGCACAAGTGTTTATCACCAGCGACATTTACGATACCCTCTTATGCAGACAATAATGGTACAAAAATAAAAATGATTGGAAACCGTCTGTATTTCATTGCGTCACATTTCAGGTAAACCAAAAAGTAATCAAAGTCACGGGATAAAAGAGCATAGCTCGAGGAAATTTTACACGGGGAAAATAAGACAAGCATAATCGGAACAAATGCTCAACATAGCACAGCAACGGAACCAACCGAATGAAAACGACACATTCCTTTGTCAGGGCCGCTATCTTTCACCAAATGGGTGTTTAGGGGTAAAACGACCAGATGAATTCGACAACAAAATATAACGCCAAGAAAACAATTTGTCCACTAGTGAAAATAAGTTGTGTAGGGCCTGGTTGACGCACGTCTCAAACACCGAACTGAAAAAGGTCAACCAGGTGAACAATCTAGACCAAACAGTATTCACTTTATATGCTTCACCCGATCAGGCGGTTCAGTTAGCTGATTATCTGACCAACGTAGAACCTATGATCGGGTTTCCGGACAGCTGGGCGGTGCCCGGCTATCGCACAAACGAGCATCAGAAGATGCCAGAGCCCGGTATGCTGCTCATTCCAACAGCACAATTAACGTGTACATATGTACGCGTCCGTACCCGAGGCGCGATGATGGACTGTGATCACCGGTGGGTCGTACACGGTGAGTTATTGAGCAAAGGACAACAGAGACCGGGACAACCAAGCAAAGGAAATATCAGTCCACGGTAGAAATAGCTACAACTTCGGGGTCCTTCGCTAATGGATAAGAGTTCGGAAAGGAGGCAATAACAGATGTGCGTGTACAAACGAACTGATCGAGCCCAATGATACACCGATACAAGTGAAAGACAACAAGATAGTCACTCGTTAATACCAATAACATTTATCCGCGTCGAAGCCAATTTCCTTGTAATTTTTAAAGAAAACGGAGTTCATTATTGAGTTCACACAGGCCAAAAACATGCGAATAGAAAGAGATAAAAGCATTATGATTGGGTCCAGTTGAGGCGTGGTTGGCATTATAAGTTCTCGAAATCGCTCCAGAAACAATAACAACGTGATCCGTTGATAACACCATTACCATTTAGATATTACAGTAACTCCTTGTGAACTCGCGCACACCCAAAAGACAGTTAGTTGAAACTCGTGAGTCCCAACTTCGTATGCCGTCCTCATTTGACTTCTTTTCTGATCGACTACTGGCAACAGGACATGTACTGTTCACGACTGTTTGATAATATGGGTGGTTTAACTGTCCATAACTTTGTCTACTGACATACAGCCTCAAACACTTAACGAAATCGAAGTTTCACATACCGACCGCGTGCCAAGTAAGGGTGTTTCATGAGCTCAGCATACTCATTTTTTGCAAACGGGGCACCCTTAGCGCGCAGATACGTTAATGAATCATTCAAGTTTCGCTGACGCGCTACTCATCTGCGTTTGTGGTCATGGTCAAATTCGAGACGTGAGAAAAACGGGGTTTAACTCTGCACGCTCCAGCTGAACCCGACAAGAATATCTGATGGAGACTGGGATTATTGAAGGCCTGTTTTTTCATCACGCTCTGGTGGATGCCTAGCTGGCCATTAGATCGTGTGGTTGTCAAGATAAACCTTTGAAGCCTGCTGCGTACATCCATTCAGAAAGGAGGGCATAAACAGACGAGGACCCTAAAACAGCACAATGTAATAAAAGGCCACTGAGAAGTGAAAAGTTATTTCTAAAAAAGAGAAAAGTGAATTTACTAGAAAGGTTGCCTGATTGCAATAATGTACTCCAATAAATGCATGCAACCAGCCAGTTTACAACTGGTGATTTCGAATAGTGCAATGAATGATTCTTGCCAGGATATTTCCCCACTCTAACTTTTCAACTCCAACTTGTTTTTCTTCTGGTGGAATGCAGTGCTGAGTAGTCGCTGATGGACAAGACGAAGTGAAAACTAGGACCGAATTCCCGTTGAGCGATACTGGTAACGGATTTGGTTGAAGTAATTTGTCATAGTCAGTGCATATAGGATAAAACTGTGTGGGGTCAAATAAGGACACGGAAATTGTATAGAACTTTAACAGCGAATCAATGGGTGTGTGTGTGCTGATATCCATTGAATTTTCAGTAACAGGTCAAATTCAGATTCCCAGTAAATCAGATAGGGAGAAAAATAAGGGAAAACCCACTGATTCAACGTACTCATCGGGATACACAAGCTTTATGCCCCTTATGGAGATGGTCTGCGGAAAAGAAACGGAAACGAGATACAACAAAATAACCATAGCTGCATTAAAGTCTGATCCATGATCGCGCGCATAAACACACATTAAACGATTTTTTTTTGCTTCAGGGGTTCACTGATCAACACCCTCGTTTTACGATTGCTGGTCACACACGAGGTGCGCTGCACCAAGATGGGAACCCACAGTGAACAGGCCATAGACCAATTAAACAGACAGCCTTCAACTCAAGTTGAGCGAGTGAGACAATCTGGTGCAAGATAGACAGAACAGAATAACACATTTGGAATGAAAGCCGTACCGAAAGAATCTGCCGCTGTTGATAATGTATTTAGGATAGATTACAGTTTCCTAACATAGTCCCCTATGACAACTGCTTCATTTGGCAACGAATTGTTAGACAGCCCTTCGCTATCACTAACAAAACCCGATGAAGAGAACTTCGTGTATGAATCAATCAGGCGGATACGTGTTTTGTTTTCTGCGTTTTCTGCGTCAACTGATTACAGGATCTTGTGAACGCCAATCCGAAAAATGAGATCCACCCGTTCTGAATAATTTCGCAAGTCCAAATCACCTGGTAATGTATACATGAACTCTGCCACCATGGAGCTCTGGCTGCACACAGTGTGAGTTGCGGAAGAAGCGAACCCATCAAAGCTTCGCGGTCAACTGAGTCAAACGATCCTTTCCGGTCAAGAAAGACTGCGATCGTTGGTCGACGGGGGGTGTAACGGAGCGCAAGGATCTGACTCAACTTAAAAATTTGGTCGTGGATGTATAGATCAAATTTTTACGTTGCGTCAGGTCCTCGAGCTGCGTCATAACCACCGTCGACCAACGGTCGCAATGTTTCTTGACCTGAAAGGAGCCTTCGACTCAGTTGACCGCGAAGCTCTGATGGGTTCCCTTCTACGAAAAAGAATGCCCTAGAAGTACGTTAACTTACTGAGGTCACTGTACTCACATACCTCAGGTTGTGTAAGGATTTACAAAGAACTAAGTAGGCCGTTCGTCAAGGGTGCCCTATTTCACCTGCACTAAGTGGACTCCAAAACGTATGCATTGAATGGGGAACTGGGGAAAAGCTGTGCGATTTAGAGTACGCCGATGACATCGTTTGTCTGTTCGAATGTATGGAGGACGCGCAAAGCGCACTTGATAGACTAAAAAGTGCTGCTGCCACATTCGGTATGTGCTTTGCACCTTCAAAATGCAAAGTGATGCTGCAAGACTGGGTTTCGTCTACTCCCGATCTCAAACTAAATGACCAGGAATTAGTTAGAGTGGATTACTTTTCCTACTTATGTAGTTGTGTGACCAATGACGGTAGCGCAACCAAAGAGATAACCGCTCGCATCTCCAAGGCTCGATCAGCGCACGCAGGATTAAAACACCTTTGGCGTAGACGCGACATTTCACCGAAGTTGTAAGGCCGTGTATATAGTGCCACCGTTCGTTTAGTTTTGCTTTATGGTTGTGATACCTCGAATTGGCGAGTAGAAGATATTCGTCCACTAAAAGTTTTCGACTAGCGGTGTTTACGTAGTTCAGACCATGTGGGAAGGACCGAATGGGTTAGTTATCTGGAGGTAAATCGTCGTGTGTTGGGGAGTCTATCAGAGATAAACCTGCTAGCACACCGAATTCAGATTGGTAGGCTTCGCTGGCTAAGGCACTTATTGCGCATACCCAGCTGTCGCCTGTCGCACCGCGATTTATTCGCTATAGCTAATCCGGGCTGGAGGAAACCACGTGGAGTTCAACAGATGACGTGGAGACGAGGCACTAAGAAATGCACAGAGCCATTAGGTAGAGTCGGTGTCTCTCGCATTCCAGGTTGGGGTGCAAAAGACTCCACAACCAGTTGGTTAGAGACATTGAAGGATATGGCAGCGAACCGGCAGCAGTGGCGTTCTTGTTGACATTTCTTAACAGGTCAGAACGCTTGAAACGGTATGTGTGCCGAGTTCGATTGCGTACACTGTGTGTTGATCATAGCGGTTCACCTTCTCTCTCCCTCGAAATAGGTCCAATCTCTGTCCACCTTACATATTACCACCACTAATCTTGTACGCGTTACGAGTTTGGCAGCAATCAGTAAAGCTCGCCTCACTGTATTTCGCTGTACAATGATGACGCGATCACTCAACAGTTGAAGGTATTACTCTTTAGTGACACCCTCTACTAACAATCCGATTTTGATTTTCCATTCTGGTTGATATACCTATATTGTTGAATGCCACATATCTAGCTTTTTCTGTCCCGCCNACCCCCCACCCGTTGATCACTCAATCAATCAAGCTGATTACAAAGACAGTTACGCCACAGACACAAAACGTACTTTGGCTTTACACAACTGTAATGGAAAGTGTCAAAACACAACAGAGATGTCTGCCAACGACATCATAATATAAGCAAGCACCTGTGCGGATGATCAACAGTCTCCCGGCTTCTGACATATGGCAAGTGACCACAGCTAGACTGAACTACTCAAATGCATATATATATCAGACATACCAACGACACCTGACGACAGAAAGTCCCGTGATCTAATACTCTGATTGACATGGTTTATTTGACTCAAGCAAGGGAAGTAGGAAACATAGACAAAGAACTGAATTAATGATACGCGAAAGTGGACATCAAAATAGCCGAGCACATTTACGGTGTCGTTTCCATGGTCGAAAGGTTTACTCCCAGAAGCAGAAATGAGATGACAATAATGACAAAATGCATGAGTACTAACTTAAAGAAGAACACCAGATGCAAATATATAAAGAGCGGTAAGAATCACGTTTGTGAAATTCAATCATCTTTCAACAACTGAATATACTTTATTGGAAAATTTGGAATGCCGAAAGAGTGCACTGAAAATTAGTTGAATTTATTGCCTCCCGGTCATTTAATCATCAAGCAACTCAAAGGGTATGATTATGCGATGTCACTTGTAACAAATTCTGGATAGAAACATTTTTTTGGCCTCATGTTAAGGCCGTTTAATTTTTCACAATTATCAACCTTGCGTTGTCATGCGACGATTTTCGCTGCTGCTTTGAAAAGCAGAAAGCATCACCGAGATGAAAATATGAAAAGAAAATGAGCTGGATCTGCATAGATGTAGGATCATATCACCCAGGTTATCCAAATTTCATTTACACTTACCTGATTTTCAACTGTGAAGTGCAATACAGCCTATAAGACAGCCCCTCCCCTATTCACGGTTTTTACACCCCATCGATAAGCGATCAGAATTCGGCTACCCGCAGCCGTCGTTTAACTATGCTGTCTGCCACACCAAACATTGCATGCCAAGGACAGTCAGTAAAATTTATGTTGGTGAAACTCTTGAATTAATTTGTGCCCGCGATCCCATAAAACTCTGCATCAAACCTCAGCACTGGTTATCCCACGATGCTTATGCAACGCGGTGCTCGACCACGGGAGTAATGGCCACGTTTTTATACCATATAACAGCACCAAATAGGGTCTTTACATTGGATAACTAATGTTATTTTTACAGTAAAAAGGGGTAAACCCAATCAATTAAAGGCCATGCGGTAAAATGTGAAATGTGAAGAGCAAACATTCACAATGGATCCAGTTTCTATTCAGTGGTTTACGGAAGATAAAAACGTGGACGAATGGCCTTCGTGCGGAACTGAAATCATATTTCCTATTACGAGATCGGTGATGGGAGAAACGCGGTGATTTCCGGGGAATTTGTGAATTGTTTCACTGAACAAACCATGCTCTATTAGAGGCATTCAAATTCACAAGTCAAAAATATGTAACGTAATCGATGACAAACGGAAGGGACGTGACTCACATGCAGTTTATCTTTTGCGGCTCGCTCATCATCAGCCCATTGACTCAGTTCGTAAAGCCTGCGCTCCCAGTTGCTGATGCTACCTTCTAGTTCCGCGTATTTGGTTTGTAGAGTATTCAGTTCTTTTAGTGCGTTAGACTTTGATCGAGCGGATGGACGACGAAGCGAATGGATGCACAGGGAATGGAGAAATAGATGTTAACGTCGGAAATGACAAAAAGGAAACAGGTTCCGTATAAGCACTGTTCAAAAGACCGGAAAGTCCGAAATAGCTGTGATTTTGTTCAGGAGTAAATAGTAAATATTGTATAAAAAATTTTGATAACCGAGATCCCGATCCTCCTCCTGCTATCTACAAAAAATAACACGTTTGCATTTGTAATTCAATTTCACGGCAAGTGTATTATCATTTGGTGTTAAACTGATCACTGATCGCATATCACACGAAATCGGAGCACCCCCAATCAGCGATTATAATCGGAAATCAGTACGGATTTGGTACAACATTCGCCTATCTTATCAGTGACGAAGTACAATGCCGAATCGTTAGAATCAGCCTCTGATGATATAAATTCTAGAGGTTAGTCTTTGAATAAAAGGATTCGACAGCACAATAGACCAAATTATTGTTTCGTAGATTGACGTTTCATGTTGAAATAGTGAAAAGTTCAGTAGCCTCGACGGGATTCGAACCATACATAGGTGTCAGTTAAAGCAACAATCTCAGGACTGTTTTTTAAACATTTATAAAACATAGTCAGAATCAAATAAATTGAGAAGATGAAGAACAAGTATGACTGACAGTAAACATCGACCTGTTGCTAACCACGCGCGAAATTTTCTTGAGTATTCAACAATAAGTTGTTCAATATTTCGGAGATTAACGATTGGTTGTCACAGTACAGTGACCAATAGAATCAATGCCCTTAATCATTTACGGGATTTATCAAACAGTAAAGTTAGCCCGTAGTGCTAGTACTGATGCAAATCAAAAGCAGAGTAACGGTGGTGGAAACTAAAGCTGAATCCGGAGTGGACCAAGGCATTAATGAGGATGGTTGGCGCTCAGTTTCAGCTTTTTTGCAAAACGATAAATGTTGAACTTCTGTGAGCTGACTTTAGATGTTGTCTTTAGAGTACTCGCCTAGTCGACCACTAGAAGACTGAAAACAGACGGAAGAGCAATTCCAAGATAATGGTACCATAACACCGATTAACCAGGTATGTTTAGGAAGAGGGTTTGACAAGGAAAATTGGGCACCATCAGATCCAAGTTTTTGTACATTTACATCACTTCGGGATCGAGGCTTGGGTAAAATGATCACCGCTAACTTGTTCACACAAAGCAACGAGCAAGTGTGAAGAACACGTGCTGAACGATTGCTGAATCTTGATTTGTCCAATCAAGAAAGCAGATCTTAAGGTGAAACTACGACACAAGTCGTGCGGGAACTTATCAATATAAATAGCAAAACACTGTAATAACAGATATTGGATTAGTCAGATATCAGATTGTCTCGCAAAACCAGTGGATGAGTCTTGCTACGTACCGCTTGTTATGCCACTACTTAACGTGATAGTACTGTGTATTTTATATACCGGCTTCAGACGGAAGAGTTCAACTAATCTCACAGAACTACAGGCATTCAACAAATTCGAAATCATGAAAACTTCCATTTGTTCAGATTACTCAAAATGTAAAGTTAACACATTAATGAGAAAGTTGTTGCACAATGAACGGACATTGACCATACGGAGAAGAAAAACTCACTCGATCCGCCATGGCACCCTCTAATCGTTGTTCCAAGATGCCCCGATCTTGATCCCATTCTTTCTGTTCCGTCTGTCGAGCGGCTTTTAACGCGTGGAATTCCTGTTTGCTACAATTCAAACGATCTGTGGTCAACTTCAGTGTCGTCTCCAACTCGCGTATTCGTTCGTATAGTTCGAATTGAGGATCTGAGTCGTGGTTCTCGTTTCCATTGTCCAACAGAGCCGGAGTGCTGGAAAATCCTTTAGTCTGTTCGGTACGGCCAGAGGCGGCGGTGGTATGATGAATTGACTCGGGGTCCGTATAATCCGAGGAACGCAGTAAATTAGTCGATGTTGTACTGTACTGGCGATGTGCAGCCAACTCCGCCCGTAACCGTGACAAATCCGAGAGAAGCTATTTGAGGAGTAAAGATAATTGTCGTGGTTATTATATGAAACAAAAATTTCATTAAAGTGAACTTGTGAACGTGATGTGGGCGGACCGGAATAACTTCGCTTAACATTTCCGTTACAGTAAAGGTTTACGTCATTTGAACCACCGATTTCGATTTTGAGTAGTATCTCATAACTAACGGCATCCATCACACTACAGGTTTACGTGCTGGTAAGGATCAACCCAGGTGCCGTTGTATTTCCCATACTCTTACACCAAGTCACGAACAAACCACCACAGGAGTTTTTCCGGTGGTGTCCAGAAATGGCAAACAGCCGATGATATCAGAAGTAGGAAGGCTTGTTTAAATCATAGGATACGGTGGGATGTAATCACTCTGATTAAGCAACGGTGTTCTGGAACCAATGCACATCGCATAATCTCATCAATTCTGACGAAACGTTTCCATTGGTCGAAGGCAACGCCTCAAAAACGGTGACTATCAATTGGTGAAAGCCACAAAACATGCAGATCGTGGAGAAGCCAGGGCTCATTAACGCAGGGGGCCATTTCTCCATTATAAAGATTGTTGTAACGTGAATTATTTGACACTGTTTGGACTTAGGCACGCATAAATAAAAAGTAAGGCAAGCATAATGATACTCGTCTCTTCAGAGAGGCCGATATCATGACGGCCAATAGGTTCTATCCCTCCCGGAAAATCGATTAGACAAATCTAGGGAATAAAAGAAAGCTATGGTTATTATTTCATTATAAACGCTACAACTGAGCTGACTCTAAGATCGCTACGCCAAAAAGGTGAAATAAGTATCGGAATTCAAAGAGGGAAGAACAATAGCAACAAAAAAGGAACCATATTCTCGGGAGGGGTGCGGGGTGGTATGATGATGAAGATGAACCTAGATCGATCGCATCAGCGAATGGTTTGAAAGAAAGTTACTATGCCAAACGAGTACCAGCGGGTCGTGAACACGTGAAGGGCATGTTGCGCTCTATGCACGTGAATTATCATCCCGAATGCATCACAGTGTGATATGGGTTGACAGGGGAGAGAGAGATCGAGAAATCAGTCACGTTAAACACATTAATTATCATGAGCATTCGCGCTATCTATCAAACACAAGCGGATCAAGAATGGGTTGTGATAGTGACAGGAGGGTGTAAGCAATTGTTTATAAACAATCTAATGAAAAAGTGCGAAGATAAAAAGGTAGTACATCGTCACCAGGGGAGGGGGACGGGAATTCAGCTGTCCGTTGATATGGGATAAAATAACAGGACAGTGAATGGGACAACTTGAAGAGACTGTTGTATATGAATCAGATGTGGGAAACGATAAGTGTGTAAACTGCACGTGTGCTTGCAATGTGCCGACGAACCATGAATATGTGAATAGATTTCGAAATCACATTACATTGGTATAAGGGGCAAGGTGATGCTTTTATTACTATTCTCTGCGGAGGTTTATCAAGGACCGGAAACTAAGGACCTGCTCCAAATAGCCAAAAACTGAGTTCATTTGCGTTTTCATAATCGAAAAAGCTTTTCCTGTACAGTATACAGAAATATGGTATCAGCGTGAAAGGTCATAACAAAATTGTTTCATGCACAAAAATACCGTGGTATTGTTAAACACAGAGGAAACCCCCAAGCAAATCTGTGTTCGTGGTGGTTTCTTTTGTACAGCCCGTTAAAATCATTGAGATGGTCATGTGGAAGTCACAAGACTATCAGGAAATTCACTGGCGAAACCAATTGTGTGTGCATGTGTGCGTCACCGGCATGTGAACGTCTGTAGTGAGCAACCCGCTGGCGCCCAATAACAACAGGTTTCTAAAGGTAAGCCAACGCACTCAAATTTAAATAAAGCATACAGATGGCGGGTAATCACGTGTACGGATTGGATTGCTGTGAATGGTGAGAACCACGAAGAGTGTTAGGCGGACTGCTTTATACGATTAGATTGAGGTAAATTTCTTTGCAACTCCTAACTCGGAGCACTCATGCAGATAATAAGAGGCTGAATTTTTGAAACTGAGATATATGATAACAATTATTAGCTGGGAGCGGCATTTTGAAAGTGTAGAGCGTTCTCGTGTGAGGCCGACTAATCCATCACAGAAGAACTCTGGGATGTGCGTTTTCATAAACCCAACCAGATAAGCTTTGCTGAGGTTAGGAGCAGAATTTTAGGTAACCACGGCCGCCCACTGGAGCAAGTGGTCAACCTCCATAGATTACGTTGGTTGGAGTATGTACTACGCATGTCATCAAATAGGTTGACACGATGCGTGATGTTTGCGAGACAGGTAGTGGGTAGAAAAGTCAAAGGTGCTCAAAATAAGACTTGACACGAGGGTATGAAAACCCTAACCTGGAGACTCGGTCATATGAGTCACATTAGGCTACCTGGATGGGGACTTCGAGATCGTAGTAACCGGTGTTTAGAGACACTGAGTGATATGATAAGTGTTGTAAACAGTGACGTTCATGCATTTTCTCAGTTTCCTGACAACCTTAATTCACTGAAATTCACCATTTTCAATTCGACGCTACTTTCAACTTGCCTGTCTTTCTCCTACTGCTTCATCCAAACGGGCAGCAAAAAGACAGCAACCAAAACTGGCACACGAAAGCGTGTGGTAAATGGTTGCACAAACTGAAAACTGAAGCTGATGACACGTACACACGACGGAGAAACCTACAGTAGTTCAGTCATGTCTGAAGAAGGCAATCGACTGGAGTCAATACATTAAGCCTTACACAAAGCTTCGTGCGACGTGATGCTATTCCGTAGGTCAACTGAAGGCTGGATCCACATGATATGGGACGCTTAGGTCTGCGAATAGTGTACGATGCCCGGAATCTGACTATCAGCCAGGTAGAAATTGGCGCTAACTTAGCCCCGGCTTGCCGTGCGTGGGCGGTCACGGTCAGAGACATCGATGAAACTAACTTATCCTCAGGGAGGATTAAGTCACTTGAATGTAAAAGTAAGCAATCGACAGAGCACGGAAGCATGCTCTGGGTGAAGTGAAACCTAGAGATAAACGGTCAGTGGTTAACGAGTATCTCCACTGCCCAACTGACACCTATTTTATTTTGTTTGGATCGACGTACCAGATTTAGTTAAACTGAAAAAACGCTGTCGGAAAATGGTCTAGTTTAGTTAAGGCGTTCACATGATAAATTTAGCATTGTAATGCAACAGTTCTGAAGACCATATTTGCATTTCGGTGCAGAAGGATGAAAAAATGCGATCAGTCAAAATGAGAAAAGCGAGCGATTAAAGCACTGAATGAGACATTGCGATTGTACTCAGCACGTATAGCGCAGTAGATGGGGGTGGATGCTCTGTTCCATACCTGTACCATACCCTCAAGCAATATTGTCTAATCACAATTATTCGCTATTGTCTCCGCAAGACGATGTGTCACCAGCGAATGCACGAAATCAGATTAGGGTGGCTTTGTTTCCGACGCATATTCGGGGGATAGAGTGAAGTAAATCAGCGTTCCGCTTTAAGAATAATAAAAATCTTTTTGAAGTTTAAGCCAGGACACAGTTCATCAATATGAGCTTCTATAGGTTACATCTAACTAGCTTAGCTAACAATTAATGCTTATAAAATGCCTTTCGGCCACATGGCCCACGAGTTTGCCCCGAAGTTCCCCATGCCACAGATACAGATAACTTATTGGTACTGTCCTTAGTCTTCTCTTTCAAAGTCACTCTAAACTTGCCTAATTGCCTCTCGCGATGCGTGCACGATCAGCGTTCTTTTGCTCGATAGCCGTTTTCTTTACTTTCAGTCATCATTCACTTTACAAAGCTCAGATTCACTCTACAATTGAATACTTCGGTGATGTCTGGGATAGAGAGTCGTCCACTGCCCTGCCACTTGATCGAGTTCAACATAAAGCCACTAGTCCCATTAACGACCCAACTCTAACAGGCAATTTGCAGTTAGTTACTCACCGTCTCACAGCCGCTTCTCTATCCTTATTCAACTGGTACTACTTCTGATTTTTGTTCCAATCCTGTCCTACTTCTCCTCCTCTTAGGTCCCATAAACAACCAATAATCATGCATTTTCATGTGGCTGTTTAGGTTGCTGTCTTTTAGACGCGCACTTGGATGAAGCAGGAGTGGGGAAATTATAATTTTGAAAGGTGAAAATAGAGAATTCCTATAGACAAATGTACTTGAGAGCAAGAGCAAAATCTATAGGACGCGTTTCTTACTAGCTTCAGGGTATCTGAGCGAACCAAAATCGCAGACCACCCAAATGGGGTAGCTTTATATTGATATCAAAGGTTTTGTTAACTAAAGGAAACAACGGAACCGCCAAAAAACATCCGTAATAAGCAGAACCTTTGACTCACAATTTCGGCAGATGAAAACAGCGAAAATTCAGATGACTTACATCTGTCCGTTCGGCCTCCAACTGCATAATTGTCGACTGGGCATCTGACGCTCGTTTGCACAACGATTCGTTTTCCTCCTCAAAGTCTCGAAGTTCAGCGGATAACTTCTGGTTTGCTTCTTGCTGTTCCAAAAGTCTGAAAATAACAGACGATGAAATGAATGATGAAAATGAAGAACGCAATTAATGGGGAAAACGAGGCAAAAAATATATAAATACGATTTAGTGTTTACGCTGTGGTCCACCATCACAAGGACTATTCGGATTGAATTCAACCTTGTGATAACCTGTGTTAGGCTAAAATCTCTTGAATCCCTTTAACTATGGATTTAATAACTGATAGGGAAGATCCCCTTCAGAAGTGACTAGTCTCCCTTCTTTTTCCCTATTTTTTTATTCGTTTCGCACCACCAACCCCTGCTTGTTTCATTTCACCGAGATTTTGGACTTTGACCTAATTTACAAGGTCACGACCGGTCGAACGTGTTTATAAGTATGCCAGCTGTCAGTAGAAATTACTTTTGAGTCTAGCAAAATATACAACCTCGCCTGGATGTCTACTCTCCTTTTCCTCTCTCATTCGGTCGGGTCTCGGGATCGTACTTTGTTGGGCGTTCCGAATTGAGTGAGTCAATGTTGAGTATCAACATCAGGCTGGTATACGTTCGTTCGGTAAATTGCGTATGTCGGGGTTATTGTTCTATCACTCCCTCATTCAGTGGTGGTCGTTCGGTCGTTCTTACTGACCATATCGTGGATCAAAACAATAAATGCTGCACAAGACTAATGCATCTAGAGAACACTTACTCAGCTTTAAGAGCCGTGATTGAGTCTAGGTGGTCTTGGTTTTGAGCCTCCAATTGTTGGCATTTATCATTCATTAGTTCCAAATCCTTTTCTAAAGCAGCAACCGTGCTGGCTATGGCTGCTGTTGTTGACGAGTCGGTAGAATCCTTGGTCGGGAGGTCAGATTCCAGCTGTTTGATGCGAAGCTGTGGAAAACAGAATTAAAGGATTGGTACAACTGGGCGTTTAGAAAGCCAATAATTACAAGGAAAAAAACGTTTCAACCGTTCATCAAGGACCTATTATTTTTTCGGTGATGAGACGCAATACTGTTTCATCAGAAGGATCCAACAATCGTTTTGTCACTCAGATAGGTCAGCGGAATTTGTATCAACTGGTGTACAACGCATGCGACTGAGATAGTTTTAATGCACGAAACAATTAAGGAGTTGGTGAATATCAAGAATAAATAACTCTTCCCCTTGAGGAAGAAACATCATCTTCTGTGGAACTCGATTTTATTAGTAGTCACAATTCGCTGCTGATGGATTCTGTGCCGCTATCTAGAAAAATTGCATCATGATTCGATTGCACACAATCTGCACGCAGACAAATGTTAAATACACAAATAAGTGTAGATGTGATCCCGAAAAAATCGCACTTGTGTATAAAAAAGACAGATTACATTGATTCAGTGGACTAGGTTTCAAAATTAATGTGAAAGGAACGACGGGAGGAGGGCAGTTTCAACGGTCTATGAAAGAACAAAAATACTATTGTAATAACATGAACTGTGTATTAAAAGCGGTAGCTATGCTAGGTATATATAACACGTGACCAATGACAGAATTGGCCACAACATATGAGAAAGAAATATGGAAAAGGTTCAAGTCAACTTTAAGCGGAACATAAAACAGGTTAGTGAACCGTAAATGAATCGAATCATACAATTGCAAGTATACGAAATCATTATCAGATAAAGCAAAAGATATGGAGCGAATCAAACTCCATGAATGACGGTTCCCACTTACCTCATAATCCCGACATCGAGTCTGGAGCTCCGCTACAGAGGAGTCTGGTTCTCTGACAGATCCGTTTGAATTGGACATTTTGGTTTCCTTGTCTGTGGACTTTTCGGCATTTTGGCAAGTCACGGATTGCCGTGGTCCTAGCTCATTTAACGGGGATCCATTGGTGAAGGTAAATCCGATGCACGCAACTTGACAGCCACGGAAAATCGGACCAAGTGGGGGACCTTCCTGGAAGGGAACAAAATTTCACTATTTGAATTTGTTATACTTAAATGTATCCACATTCAAAGAAGACTCACACTTACAGGGTTAACTCTATGGTGGTCGGGATTTATGTCTGAACACTAAAGATTACTTGAACTGGATATACTTAGTTTTGTTCGGAGTCACAACAGATTTGTGATGAAAGGATTTATGAAGGCGCACAGAAAGCTAACAGTAATTAACATTTCCTAGACCTCCATTGACAGAATCATTGTAAGCTTCTTCTGCATCTCAGAACTGCATTGAGCTCCTATTACTTCCTTTTCACAGTTTGACCGAACGGGTAGCCGATAGACAGCAAACAAGACCGTCGCAAGAGAGCTCCCAGGTAAGTTATGTAGACTGAAACTGAACATGACCAAAGCGAGGATCGTGTATATGGGGTTGTGTGAGGTAAACACTACCGCTCTAAAGTTAGCGACTGATTGTACTAATATTACTAGCAAGAATAACTTTTCTAAGCTTTTACTTATATTGGTATTATTATTACTATTATTTCACCCACAAAGACAGGAGGATTGGGAGAAAAATTGACAACCACAAGGCACATTCGGTAAAGCAGCTAGAACACTCACGTGATTTCTGGTGGATTGTTCTATGTCGAAATTAGACGTATCTTCTGGGCTTTTGACCTCCGGTTTGTAGGGTGGAGTTTCTATAAAGGAAATAATGATTCTTTAAAACGATGCACACTGCCGAGGGTAAGAACACCACGTTTACCAAGTCCGAAAATCACGAAGTCAATGCATTACTTGAAAACTTCATTTGGAGGACACAGAGCATGATACGGTCAGTAGTGCGGAAAATGTACGAATTGGTAGATAAGAAATGTTCTGAATGGCTTCCGTCAAACTCGTACTAAATACCCACTCATTTCATGCAACCCTTTATTCCGGCTTTTAACTAGGAAGGCAAGATCCAAGATCCATCCCAAATGATTTACATACATAAATCGCTTTAAAAAGTGGCGACACCGAAGCATGCTTACCGTTTGGTATTTGAAAATAAGCGCAGACTTTTAACGAGGTCGTAAGGAATATGTACAAATTACAGCTTGGAATGAGTACCAACTTCATCTGGATAAAAGTATACGACGAAAAACAGATGATATATGGGGCTATAACCGGCTCACTGAATTAATAACAGAGAGTTAACCAAAAACCCCAATTTCAAACTAACCGATGTACGAATCACACCACTTGGTAAGCATTCTCCACACAAGACACCACATCTATCTTTTGACAGCGCCGTGGCGCGGCGTCCGCCACTGAATATCATTGCCCTCCTTGTCGAGCTCCATCTACCTGACAGGGTTTTCCAGAAGGGGTGAATGAACCAACCAACCGGTCACCGGCTCATCCGGAACTATGCTGCTACCTTGTAGCTCGCGCTTCGTTGTGCACAGGTTAGAGTGCAGCCTCGAACAAGACTTACACTGGTCTAGATGACCCAGCAGTGCAACAGTCCACAACACAAACAAAATGAAATATGAACATTCACTCATCCATTTGTTCCCATAGCTTTCCTCTTTCAGAGAAAATTGTTTTACACCGTGTACATCTGGGGACCCTGAGGCTGAGGTCTCTGGTCTTCCTGGGGTTGGCGTGGCTGTGAGTGGACTGAAGCAGCGTTTCTACATTCGATCCGTCGACAGTCGGCTATGTACAGTGAGACATAGCGGCTCGTGCAAATTAAGCAGCCGTCTCTCCAAAAGATGCAACTTGTTTGTCGTCTCAGAGTACGCACCCACTGACTGTAGCCCAGATAGAATCAAAGGTACTTTCTACCAAAAACTATACGACCTCTTACAAAAAGCGAACTGGGCTGATATCGTGACTCTAGCAGGAGATATGAATTCTAGAGCAGGTCGGCTGACTTCGAGTGAGCCGCCTAAGAGGTCCTGCCGGATTAGATCCTTGTCACCCAGAAAAAGGGGAACGGCTGTTGGCTTCATCTTCTGACTACCGTCTATTCCTCGCTAGGAAGAACTTAAAATGTTTTAACTGCCGGTACGCCAGG